CCATCCAAGATGGGAACATCTTTCCTTTGTAACCATCAATAGTGAGGCTTTTCAAATTTGGATGAGGCTGAAGGCCTTTTAGAACCTCTTCATCATTGTTGTTGTTGACTGCCCCTACATGCCTACTACTCCAGCATAATGCCAATTGATGCAATTTTGTCTTTTCTTTCAGGCTTGCTTTAGAGGCTTCTAATTTGGATCTTACATGTTCAAGCTGGAAAATCCCTAGTTTTCCTCCAAGTTGGCTTAAGCATCCAAGGTCTTCAATCTGGCTTCCTTTTTTTGTGCCCACAACAAAGGCTGATAATGTTCGAAGGGAAGTTAACTGCATGATAGATATATTACATGAACGACCAGAATAGATATGCCTCAAGCTGATGAGATTTGACGTGCCATTGGGAAGCAAAATGCCAATATCCACAAATTTTGAAGTCTGCAAATTATAGAGCTTGGAGAAGGATTTTGGCAGTACTGTAACATAAGTTCTTGAGATATCAAGGTACTTCAAATGCTTCAATTTGCCTAGTGAAATTGGCAACTTCTTCATCTTATGTCCCGTTAATTTCAAGGATCGCAAGCTTTTGAGATCTGATGCCATGCTACAAAAAACATCACCATCTGAAAACAAAGAATGCAACCTTTGAGCAATACCTTTTGGAATGGTTGGAAGATGCTTTCCATTAGACTTGACTCTCAAATGACGAATGGTACTAAAATTCTGGTCAACAATGTTGCAACTAGTATCCCAAATCAAGGTTTCACCTGTTGAAACAAGTAATGCAAGATCGTGCACTAGATCATGCATTTTGCAAGAAATAATGCTCCCATACAAATCCCATTTAATATCTTGGAATAAAGCATTAGATAACAACTCATTGAAATACTCCTTACCAATATCCTCCATTTCCACAAGGCTTTCATTAGCTCTGTGAACAAACCCTTGAGCCATCCAAAGTTGAATTAAATCATCTTTTAAAATGATAGCATCCTTTGGAAAAATTGAACAATAAGAGAAGCACTTTTTTAAGGATGAAGGCAAACGATCAAAGCTCATTTTCAATATAGATAAAACCTTCTTATTTTCATCTTGCAAAATCCATGCTTCATCATCTAAGATCTCTTGCCACTTATCTGTCTTCATTTCACGACTCAATGTTCCTCCAATTACACTAGCAACTAATGGCAACCCCTCACATTTTTTGGCGATTTCTTTTCCAATACCTTCTAAATCCAAAGGTGTTGAAGTTTCTGTTGATGATCTGAGAACTACGTCCTCAATTATCAACCAACATTCATGATCTGATAACTTTACCATATCATGTTTTTGCATTGGAAGTGCCTCCATTATGGATGCTACCTTGTCACTACGAGTAGTCACAAGAATGGAGTTTCCACTGGTTTTTAAAATTTTTAACAAACGAGATTTGAAACTGTCCCACTTGTCTCTATCATCATTCCACACATCATCAAGAACTAGAAGAAATTTTCTATTTTCTAACTTTTGCCCAAGCTTCTGAATAAGTGCATCAGTATTATTCATTCGACCAACATAGCCATCAAGGTATTCTAACATATCTCCTAATATTGTTTTTTCATCAAATTCCTCGGACACACAAACCCAAGCCACCAGATCATACAACCTTTGTTCTTTTACCATGCTGCATATTGATTTTGCTAATGTTGTTTTGCCTATGCCCCCAAAGCCTACCATTGAAATGCCAGAGAGCACATGTTGACTCCTTATGTTATCCAGCTTGTTGACAATTTCTAAGACATCATTATGCCTTCCTACAAATTTTAAACAATCAGGGATGGAATCTGTCTTAGGATATTGCCTTGCACTAGCAGAGGAATGACTTTGGTCACTAAGTCTGACTGGCAGAAGCAAAACCCCATTGTTGTTGATTTTAACCAGAGTTTTATTAATCTTCCTAATCTTATCAGCCACGCTAAGACGAAAGGCAGTGCGATTGAAAAGACCAAAGAAGGTGCGCACCTGTTTCCTTTTTCGGCCTTGAGTCTGAACTTTGTGCTTAAGGACTTCATAACCATACTCATCCAGTACATCCACCGCATCATAAGCTACATCTCTGAGCTGCTGTAACCAATTCCTTATGGCTGGATTGCTTTCTTGCCTCCCTTCAGCATCTTGAAGCAATCCTTGGATCGTAGTTAGTGTTTGAGCGAGCTCCCCCAGCTCCTTCTCCAGACCCCATGCCATGCTGATTTGTACAGCAGCAAGCGAAATTGCTTCAGAAACTGCTTTCTCTATGATTGGGGTGACGAAGTGGAGGACGTGTTCAGCCATTATGCTTAGAGACTCAGAAAGACGGCTAGCACAATTAAACTCTGCAAAAGAAAAGCGGAATGGTGTTGAGAGAGCAGAGACTGTAGCAGCAACTGGACTAAAAATAGGTTGAAATGTTGATGAAGAATCTGCAAATAAAACGTAATCACTTACCAGATCTGATCCTAAGATGCTTAGCCACACAGAAAGATAGCAAACGTAAGAGAATCCTGAGAGACAAACAGAGATGATGTTTGTGAGAAAACTGAGCACAGATGAGGAGGAATTGAAATGCAGCCCTGTTTTTATAGACCAGAGACACCACGGTAGGCATAAGCGCATATGGATTTCTAGTTAGCCAATGCAATTATGTTTTGTGATATTTCCAATGTTTGCTTTTTTTTTTAAATAATTGAAATATTTTTTGGTTTAACGTACTTCATATGACATACATATTAAAAAATTATTATTTTTAAATTTTAATTTATAAAAAAAATTAAAAACAATTTATCAAGTATATGCTTATTGCTTTTAATAATAAAATCTGTTATTTTTTTTTATCGTCAATTAATTTAAGTTAAATACTTGTTTTTCTGTCGATGCTCATATAAATTTTTACATTGTGCCTAATAAGTAAAGATAATTAGTAAAATACTTGAAAATGTTCATAAAATTTATATAATTACTAGATCAGGTGAGTATTGAGAAGTAATGATCCTACATACCTTATCTCTAATATAATTTCTCTACAAAAAAATTAATTTTTTTAAATTTTATTGAGTTTAATATATGAATATTTTATAATTTAAATAATAAAATATCAATCATTAAATTAAAAAATTCTCACCTATTAATTATTATTAAGGAGCCTTTTATTGTCTAATAATGAATGTTTGTTGATCTTTTAAGCTATTTAAAAAAAAAAAAAGGAAATCGGCCTCAATTATGTTTTTCATAAATTTTAATAAAACTTACCTAGCAGCTTCCTTCATCCTTATCCAGGCACGTCAGACTTTGAATCCTTCCCTTCCACTTTGAATGCACCTTGCTGTAGGTCACCTCCGGACGGTCGAACCGGTCCGAGTTACCGACGCGAAATAATTCTTTTTTTTAAAAAAAAGAAAAAAAGGTAAGCGACACGAATTCTGGGGGCCAAGTCACACGAGTTGACGTATTCTGGTGATGGCTTGCATCCGCATGCACCGTTAAACTGCCGTCCAATTAAACAAATAATTATAAATGGGACCTTTATGTGTAATAGTGTCATCCTGAGACTTTCGTATCCGAGTTTAATTGGTTAAAAATTTAATTTTTATTAATAATTTAAAAAATCTCTTTATCCCTATAATTTTTCCTGTTTAAAAAAAAGTTAAACAAATAATTATA